CGATAATATGTGACACCGAAACAAAAAAATTTACAGCAAAATCGACAGTCATTTTATCGTCAAAATGTCTATTGGTTTTTTATTAAAAATCACTGGTTAAACTGCTGTTTAAAACTGTCGGTCACACGCCCGATTTAACCGCCGGTAATTCCAATGGTTCTTTGACCACCGATAATATTGCTGGTAATTGGTAATTTTTTGTATCGACTCTCTCTAATATTATCTATCTCTGGAGATCTTCCAACCGTTTTACTTATATGCTTGTTTCACATTCTGTCTCTAAGAGTAAAGCCACTCATTCACATAAGCATCCTCATTTCTGCAGCACTTAAATTGTATGTTTCTCTTTTAATGGCCAACATTTTGAGCAATAAGGAATTACAAGTCTAACCACCATCTTATAAAACTTTTTCTTACGTTTGAGGGGTACTTTTCTATCACATAATAGGCCTGATGTATCCTCCACTTCAACTATCCACTTGAATTCTACTAATAATATCCCCATCTATTTCATCATCAATATGGACAATAAATCTGATATATCTAAAATATGTATTCTTATTGATGACTTGATCTCCCAAAGTCATAATCCTCCCACTAGATATCTATTACTACTAAACTTACACTCAATATATTCAGTTTTAGATCTACTCAAACAAAAACCTTTAGACTATATGGCTCTTAAATTTAAGTTCACCTTCAACTTGTGCTCTAATCTTATCAAGAAGAAGAATATCATCAATAAAAAACATACACCACGGTACTTCCTCTTGTAAATGTTTAGTAAGAACATCCATGACTAAAACAAAAAGATATTGGCTTAAATTCCATCTTTAATGTAATCCAACTTAAATAGGTAAATAATTGGTCCAACCATCTCGTGTTTCAACACAAATAATATCTCTTACATACAAATCCTTAATGACAAAGTATAATCTTATTAACTCCTTTATTTTCTAAAACTCTCCATAGTACTTCTCTTAGAACTTTATCACAAGCTTTCTCCAAATTAATAAATATCATATGTAAATCCTTATTATTCTCTCTGCACTTCTCTCCAGTAAACCTCTCAATTGATGTATAGCTTCTATAGTAGACCTACCCATCATGAATCCAAATTAATTTTGAGAAATATTAGTATCACTCTAGAATCTATGTTCAATAGCTTTCTCCCAAAGTTTTAAAAGATGACACATTACCTTAATTCCTCTATAATCTACGTACTCTTGAATTATGATGATATTGAGAATATAAAGAAAATAAATTTGGAAGGAGATGATTCATTACCTATGAAATGGAGATATAATAGAAATCATGAAGTATTATGCTATAAATAATATAAAAATGATAGAAACTCTATCATTTTTTTTCATTCTTCTCTCCTTCCTTACGTGTTAAATCTTGAGAGGAGAAACTTTGATCTTCATTCCAAATAATTTATACATTTGCAAGATCAAGTCATTGGTTCAAAAGTTTCAACACATTCAATCAAGCAACTTAAAAAATTGATTTTTTGTTTGTCATTCTCAAAATTTTTTCTTACAAAATTTTCTTTGCTGATTATTTTAGTGTTTACCTTGTATATTTCTTTGATATATTTATTATTTGATGAAATACTAGTTGAGAATCTTAGATTAGATCTTTTATATTTAAGTCCCTTTCATCTATAAAGCTAGGAAACAAATCTTTTTTTTTTTTACTTTTAGCATAGATCCACCATCCAAATCTAATCAATCTTTAAAAATATCGTATGCATATTTTTTCTTACTTAATATATCCACCTTATATGATTTAAGAATTTTATATTTAAATCATCAAGAAAAATATTTTTACTTAAAATATTATTCATACTTATATTAAGTTATAAATCTATTTTATAGTGATCAAATTAATTTTATATTTTATTTGCAAGTATTGAGATGATTACAATTAAATTGTAAGAGCACCTCAAATATTTTGAACATTTTACTGCAAAATAATTTGAGCTTGTATTATTTACATCAAATTGTATTTTATTTAATCTAAGCTATATTTGGCTTAGTAAAGTTTAAATTATGATTAGACTGAGTTATACTCGCCCGTGCAGGGGAGTACTTAGGTCGTAAATATTTTTTTTTGTTTAAAGAAGTGAGGTTTGCAAGGAAAATTTGAGATTAGTATATTCTAGCCCAAGAGCTAGCTAGCTTGGACATAGGCCGGATTGGAATCCGGCTCGAGCCACGTAAAAATATTGTGCATGTAATTTTTTTTAATTGCATATATTTTTCTTTCTCATTTACGTAGAGATTTATGTGTTTATTTATTTCCTTCTCAAATAGTATCAAAATTATTTTATTTATTTTCTTTTAATAAAAATTTATTAAAATCAATTCCATCCCCATCTTGGGGTGTCATAATCATCCAACAATTCTCCCCTCAAGTCTATAAGAGACTTTTATAATCTCTTCTCTACAACTATAAGTTATAATGTATCTTCAATGAAATTTCTTAATGAGTAATGGAGCCACCTAATGCTTCAACTCGTTGGAAGGAGCCTTATACTCTAACATGACTTGCTCGAATTTAATAAGGATGAATATATATATATATATATATTATACAACAACAATAACATCAAGCCTTTGTCTCACTATGTGGGATCGACTATATGAATCTTTTTTCTCCATTATATCATATTAAGAGTAAAAAAATAGTCATTTTTAATACTTTCTAACCAAGTATTTTTATGATCTATCTCTACCTTTCCTAATATAGGTTAGATCTATCACGTATACTCTCCTAATCATTTCATTGGAAGGTCGATGTTTTATGTGACCAAATCGTCTAAGGAGACTCTCTCTAATCCTATTTAACACTAGAGCTACTCCATCCTTTTCACATATATACTTGTTTCATATTATGTCTCTAAGTGTAAAGCTACTTATTCACCTAATCATCCTCACCTTTGCAATACTTAATTTTATGTTACTCTTTTAATGGCCAACATTCTGCACCATAAAGCATTGTAAGTCTTACCAACATCTCATAGAATTTTCCCTTAAGTTTGAGGGAATACTTTTCTAGCACACAATAAGCTTGATACACTCCACTTCAACCATCCAACTTAAATTCTACTTTTAATATCTCTATCTATTTCACCTTCATTTTGAATAATAGATTTGAGATATTTAAATGTGTACTCTTTCTGATAAATTGATGTCCCAAAATCACAAACCCGACTAGATCTATTACTACTAAAATTACACCTTAATGTATTTTGTTTTAGACACACTCAAACAAAAACCATTCGTCTTTAAGGTTGACCTCTATAATTCAATTTTTCTTTCAACTTAATTCCTCTCTAGTCTTATCAATAAGAAGAATATCATCAGCAAAAAGCATATGCCAAGGTACATCCTCTTGTAAATGTCTAGTAGGAACATCCATGACTAAAGCAAAAGATATGAGCTTAATGTTGATCATTGATATAGTGCAATTGAAATACGAAAATATTTGATTGAACCACCTTATGTTTGAACACAATAGCTCATGTATGCATATCCTTAATGACTTGAATATAAGTTTTATTAACTTCTTTATTTTCTATAACACTCCAAAGTACTTCACTTGGAGCTTTCACTACAGGAAAATTGCTCATTACCAGAGAATTTTCCAGTCGATTTTCGATGGACTATTTTCTAGTGGATTCCCCGACGAATTACGATAAAATATTTTTTACTAATTTTCAAGTGAATTTTAAAATTTTTTTGAAAAAATTATATATTCATAATTTAATTAATTTACAATTTTATAGTTTATTTTAAATTTAAATATATTTTTTAAATTTATTTAAAATTTTTAGTTATGTATTATTATATTTAAATATAAAAGTGTTTGCTTAATAACACAATTTCTTCCAAAACAAAGTGGTTGAGTACTTGAAATCGGCGCCACAGCGCGGGATGGGCGCAGGAAGGCAGTCGGGCAGTGCGGGGAGGACGGGCGTCCGGGTAGGCGGTAGCTAGCTGTTAGCTTCAACGGGCTTATTTCGGAGGTTTTTTCAGCATGAAAAATTTTTCGACGAATTTTTTTTCAATGGAATTTTTTTGTGACGCTCATTTTACCGTCGAAAAATTTTCAACCGGAAACTTTTCAAATCTGCCATAACTTAACAATTTTTCGATGAAAAATTCGCCGGTAATATGTGATTTTCATGTAGTGTTTATCATATGTTTTTTCCTAAATCAATAAATATCATATGTAGATCTGCTTACTCTTTCTATACTTATCCATCAAATCTCTTTAAAAAAATATAGCTTCCATAATTAACTTACCCGACATGAATCCAAATTGATTTTGAGAAACATTAACTTATCTCCTCCGATCCATGCATCACCTTTATTCTTAAGATTAAATAAGAACCAACACACTCACTTTCCACTCTTCTGACATCATTTTAGTTTTCAGAATAATATTAAAAAGTTTAATAAGCTAATTAAGTTAATCCAAATTTTAAAATAACAATAGTAATAATAATATTTTTTAATAATTTAACAAAATGTTCCAAGTTGATCCAAATTTTGGACCATGATAGTTCCAATGTTTTGGGTGGTTGATGCAAATTGAATTTTTCATATTTATGTGGTTTTTTAAAATAGATATCCTTACCTAAATTTTTTCTTTTAAAATTTTTATTGCTCTCTACTACTTGGGATATTTCCTTTTTTTTTTTGTTTGTAAGAAATGGTGAGCAATAATTGCCGAGTATCCGGCTCGAATTCATAACCTTGAAGATAGAATATTTTTTAAAATCAATTAGTCATGCATGGGGTTCTTTCACATTTTAGTATTCTACTTAATCCATGAGTTCAATCAAACTTTGTGGGAATAAAAGTTGAATTTTCACACTCAAAATTCTAAGTACCTTACAAGTTACAATCATTCACCAACTAAATTAAGTTTCAATGGAGACATCTAAATTAAGGAAATTGAAGGAAAAAAAAAACTTTGTGCAGTACAGTTCCAAAGTCAGCAACCTCTTGTTTGTTATTACATAATAGAAATAGATTGTAGAATCTTAAACAAAGCCTTACAATAATAGATATAAAGTTAGCTTTTCAACATCTTCCATTTTCTTCATTTTTTCCAACGTCAAAGTTATTGCAATGATACAAAACTATATACTATCATATAAAATCCCATCGCATTATGTGTCTGCATGTTAACTATCATTAATTAGGTTGTTTGGGATGGCTTTCTTAATGCTTTTTAAAGCAGTTTTCTAGCACTAAAAAACTACTGCTTTAGGAAGTAGTAAGGAAACCGTCTCAAACGAAGCCTAAATATCTCCAGATTTTTTGTCATTCGTAGCAGCCATTAATGTGTTCCGAGTTAGAACAAGAAGCTGATTCACTAAACTGCGATGCCAATAACTTCTCCACCATCTTCCAGTCAATTGAGTTGCTGGTTGCATGAGAACCTTTAGCCAGCAAATCACTTGAAGATGAGAAGCCTGCAGGGTTCTCAAGCTGTGGGATCGCAAAGACATTGTGGCACTCCTTTGATTCATTTCCAATTCCAAATCCATGCAATGGTTCATAGCTAAAGCTTGCGTTTGTTTCCATTTGAACAATTTCGTAATGGTTTTGATCAGCTCTGAGGAAATAGCTTGGATTGTTAGTGCTGAAGCAGTGTCTTTCATGAATTGGACTTTGTTTTTTGAATGCTCGGCATACTACCCAACCTTCTTCCTGCAATTCATTCATGGCGTGTTGATCGATCACATTATGCACTTGAAAATATATAGTTGAAGCATTTGCATAAGATTTGTTTTTTTTTTTTTCTATTAAGTTACAATACAACTATTTCTAGTTAGTAAGAAAACAATTAATATATTTAATGATTACATGATAATAAATTCTGATCTTACAAAATAGTAAATAATAGCCTAGCTGGTAAGAGAACAATCAATAAATGCCATTTTCATGTTTTCATCATCACATGTGATGATCAACGAGTTATTTCAGCCATTTTTTTTGCCTGAAAAAAGTATTTTTTGTTAGAAAAGTTATTTTTGGATAATGGATTTTCGGTAAAAACATATTTGTCACTAAAAATCTTATAGGAAAGAACTTCTGATGAGTGACGAATGATTTCACAACATAAATCAAGGAAAAAAATATATTTTCATTATAGAAAAATCGTTCATTGCAGGCAGAATTTTTTGGTGGAAAATAGTAATTTTATGGCGGATTTGGAAGTTTCCGGCCGAAAATAATCCGACAGTATAAACGGCACAGGAAAATTTTTTCCAGAGAAAAAAGGCAGCCGAAAAGATTTTCGGCGGAAAAAATCTGCCGGAAAAACTATCTTATTGCATTCGATCTGTCGGAAAACCGCTGCAAATTTGCTAGAAATCTGTCGGTAATGAATGATTTTTCTATAGTATGTTTTCCTGTAGTGCATTCTCTAATAGTAGAATTTCATAATATCTATTTGATAAAATTTCCAAATTACTATTTATTGCAAATCTTTTAACCTTGCAACACAAAATAAAGTAAGAAGATTTGATTTCTCTCTAATTATCATCATATTTGTCCAAAGTACTACTTTCAATGACAGATTGTCATCCAATTTATTAAAAATCATTCAAAATGAATTAATTGAATGATACTTAACTGTTAAAGAAACCAAAAAGAACTACTAATGAGATTGAGTTGATTAATTTGCCTGAGAATTAGGCGCTAGTTGATCACTTGAATGAAGGCGATACTCATGCATGATCCAATCTGACTTTCTACCATTTGGTGCTCGGCCTTCATAGAACACAAGAGTCTTCCTCATTCCAATTACTTTTGACTTTGAAACTATTTCCTTATCTCTTCCAGTTGCTTTCCAGAATCCAGAAGCAGTGGCCCTATTTGTGCGAGTTCCACTTGGATACTTCCTGTCCTTATGACTGAAGAAATACCATTCATTTTGCTCCTGGTAACCAAATTTGCATCTATCTGTTTGAACAAGGAAAACAATTTGCATCTAAGTTTTATAGTAGTATATGACTACGTTGTCGTTTGTGACAGCTTTCTCTTATTGCTTCATAAAATAATTTTTTATACAAAAATTAAAATTTTGTACTAAAAAACTGCTTTAAGAAGCAGCAAAAAAATCTTCCCAAATGAAATCTAAGTAGACGTTTTATGAGCTGATTCGAGCAAATTTCCTTCTTCAAATCGGGTGTCATATTAGTAAAACACAACTACAACTACAGTTGGAAAAAGAAAAAGAAAAAGAAAAAGAAAATTGAATGATACATTAGTAAAACACAAGTAAAAACCCAGTTATCTTAATAGCAGAAGCTAGAAATATTAATCACTCGTTGTTGTTATATATTGAAAAATACTTGAGTAGTTATAACAACAATTATTAATACTCTCTAAGCAAAATATTTAAATATTAATTACGTTGGAGCTCCCATGGCTCAATTTTATAGAGGTCTATGTCAGCTATAATCTCTATATCAATCCTCTGAGAAGAAATTTTTCTTGTTAGGTAGTAACCCACAAGCTCTTCCTCTGTTGGGTGGAATCTAAAACCTGGTGGGACACAGGATTCCACTTCCATTTGCTGGCTTCACCTGAAAGAGTCAATACAGCACCAAACAACTCAGAAGGTGGCATATAACGTCGGTAACTTAATTGAAAGAATTCCAAGCACAATAAGAGATCTTGGAGATCTTGAAAAGTATTTACAGCACAAACTATGTATGTTAAATGAAATAACTAAAAAAAAACATCACAAAAGATACAAATTTAGGTTTCGTTTGGGACAGCTTTCGTGCTGCTTTCTAAAAGTCTTTTTAGTACAAAAATCTCAAATTCAAGAGAATTTTGTACTAGAAATCTATTTAGAAAGCAAGAAGAAAGCCGTCCCAAACGAAGCCTTAATGTAATTCATAGATTAGTTCTTCCATAGTATGTGTCCATAAATTTTACTTCCAGAAGGTTAGGGCAACAAACTAAATAGAATAACATGACATTTGTCCTCAGAAATAATCTACATAATCAAAATATTTGTAATCTGCTGGTTCTACAGACATTCAACAAAAATATCCAAGTGAAAGAAGCTAAAGTGGAAAAATTCATGTAGATTACTTTCAAACTGCTGCATTTCCTTCTTGTTTTTACCTTTTTTGCTGCCTAGCTATATCCATGTGAATGAGACAGCCATTATCCAACCACTTTCATAGTTTTATAAAAGCAGCCATTTCTTTTGACTTCTGTGGTGCAAGCCTGCTCATATCTCTTTTACTGCACTCCATGTTCAGACTGAAAGAACCATCTCAATGAAGAAGAATACGAAAGAGATCCTTATAAGTGATAAATCTATCTCTCATCCCTTTTGCCAGTCAATTTATTGATCACAACAAGGAAGCTTTTAAACAACAAATTAATCAAGTTTAAAGGATTAATCACATATTAGAAAAGTTTTGTTCAGAAAACTTGTTTGAATCGTTCATGTTAAATAAATATTTCTCAAAATTGTATATATTAAAGAATCATGAAAATGTAATGTAACATTAAATATGGATCCAATTCATGAACTTTATGTTCAAATTGCAGTGTAAATTAAAATTATTTTACTTTTATCAATGGATGTTTAAATTGAACTATAGCTTACAAGCAAGAAATTGAAGAAATCCTAATGAATTTTAAGAATTATGAAGAATATAAAACATCTTGCAAAAGCTCACCAAATTAAGTTGCCAAACTCCGTAGTTCTCTGTGACCAAGCGAAGAGAGGGATCCAGAAAGTTTTTTTTTTTTGGAGAGAGAGATCTGAATAAATATTGTAAGAGACCAGAGAAAGAAAGAGATAACAATGTTGTTTGGACGATGCAGTGGACTGATTGACGGATATAAATTTGGAAGAGTGTAGACATATACATTTATATATACATGTAAAGAAAAGTTAGAGCTGTAGCCATTGATTGCGCGTGGGTGGGGGTGGCAAGAAGGAAGAAAGAGAGGTTTAGAGAGCGAGAGAGAGAGAGAGAGAGAGAGAGAGAGATTTGGACGGCGTGACAGCAAAATATCCTTACGCCACCACTTCAAACACACACACTTTCTCTCTCCTTCCTCTTTTTATCTCAATACACTGAGTTGCAATATATTTCCTTGATTACTTTGCTTGTTTAATCCATGATATATAACTATTTTAGCCGACCTTGCAGATGTGTAGGCTCTTGCGTTCTGCCACCTGATGCAAATAGCTCATATTTACTTGGGTTATTTGTATAATTTTTTTTTTGTAATTTGGCAAATTTTATTAAAAAATATTTGTATTTTTTAAATTTTAAAAATAAAAAATAGTCAAAGCTATTTTTTCCCTTAAAATTAAGGTAAATAACCATACTTTTGTGACAGCTTTTTGAAATCCCAGCATTAGTTTGATTTGCTAAACAAAGGATCTAATAGACTTGAAGTGTTTTGAATTATTTGGATGAGTGTAAAAAAAATGCAAGTGATTTTTTTTTTTTTAAAGCTTGAAGTAAAATGACTACAATATGAAGTAAAATAATAGTATTGGCCGGTAACGATGACGACGACAATGTGGTGGCCGGCTGCAACAATCGATAGTGGCGGGCACTAATGGCCGGTAATGGCCGGTTGGTGGCGGCGTAGGGTGGCGCAGCAGTCAGTGAGAGGCAAGTGTTTCAAATAAAAAAAAAATATTATTTCTCACAGATTTGAGCTGTAAAAAACTTTTCTTAGAAAAGAAAAATGTGACTAAAGATCAAATTTAGTAATCTAACTGGTCAAGTTATCACAAGCGGTTCGGTCACATTTTTTTGGGCCACTGTTGGTGTAGAAAGCAAGTCATCTAACTGGAATTCTCTCTATATGTTAAGTGCAAGGCATTCAGATTATGTGGCAGTATGGTTTGTATCTTAGAGGCCAAGCCAACCATGTCTGCAGAACAAAGCCTAATAAGTGTAAAAAAGAACTAATAGAAAGCCAACCAGCTTTGTACTTTCTAGCAAAAGTTCATTAAATTATATGAGGAAAAGGGGGATGGCACTGAAACGTCAACAATACCTTTGTTTTTTCTCTGTAAGCAAGTAGAATTTGAGTATGTTTGTATTGTTCATGCAACTCATTTTGATATGTTGATTTTAGGTTTTGATTATTAACTAAGAGTTCCTGATTTTAAAGTTTGCATATGTGATTTGTGTGAGAGCTTGCCATATGTCTCAAATGTTCCTTAAGAAAATTAAGTATCGTTCAGCTCGACTTGTTAGGTGAATGAGTTATTATTATTATTTTTTCTATTTCATCCTTAAAGTTATACACGTCTCAATTATATTTTGTTTACCCTCAATAAAGAGTTTGGCTCTGCCCCTGATTATATATGTTATGGGCTAGAATATACACAGTGATAGAGTTGGAAAATTTTCGTCTCAGCATTGTATGGATATCCAACACATGTACACATGCAGAAGAAAAATGTAACACCTGAATTTTTACGTGGAAACCCTGGAAAAGGGAAAAAACTACGGGGCCACGCCTAGTTGAAAGGATTCAACTAGTATTTGCTTAGATTACAAGTGGCTGACTCATCCATGCAATTAAGTACAATCAGATTACAATAATTAACTCATGGGTTGAAATTCAGTTATAAATGGAGATCGTAATTCCGGCGACGTTTGGTGGTCGAGCGGAAATCTGGCTTCAATTGACGGTCGGGCAGAAATCAGGCATCAGTTGGCTGTCAGGCAGAATTCCAGTGTCAGTCGGCAATCGAACATAACTCTGGCGGCAATCGGGCAGAACTCCGGCGTCGGTCGGTTGTTGGGTAGAACTGTGACGTCGGTTGGCTGCTGGGTGGAAGTCCGATGGTGGTCGAGGAGTGGTGGTAAGAAATATCTCTTCCTTCTCTTCGTTTCCTTCTCTTCTCTTCTCTTCTTGCTTGGGTCCCCTCTTATGAGAAATGTGGGGTCTATTTTCTGAGAGTGACATGACCATTAAATAGTAGGGAGATCAAGAATAAATTGGGAGTGATTTGAATGAATGACTGAAGTTGAATCCCTTGATCATTGACCGTTTATTAGGTTCGTATTTTAGAGATGTTCAATACGATTGTAAGTTGGCTGAAATCGGAGTTCAGACGACGATCTCCAATTTAATTTTTAAAGTTTCCCACTTTATTTTTATCTCAAGTTTCGCGCTTATTCATATTCGTTTCGTTAAAGATTGGTACTATCTTATAAAGATATAGGAATTTAAGGTAACTACATAGAACAAATAACTTGATTTTCTTAAAGCCCCTCTCTTATGTGCCCGTCCTTGATGGGTTCTTAATTTCTTATTTGTGTATAGTTAAACGTGGATTTAAAAATAATCATGTAATTAATTAGTTAATTAATGACTAATAATTTTCTATTAGTATATGAACTACTTAATTAATTCGTTGGTTCATGGGGATCTCCTTGCCTTGAAAGCTGTTAAAACTAGGGCTGGCAAAATCGGATCGCAGGGTTTGGGTCGAATTCAAAATTGACCCAACACAAGTTGACCCTATTTGAATCCGACCAGTTTTTACAAGCGGATTAGATATTTCAACATGGACCAGACCTGTGTGGGTTACCGGGTTGACCCGACTCTACTTGATGCGGTCACGCAGGGAGACGCGACGCGAGCAAAACGATCAACGTTGGTAGAGCGGTCATTACAATTATTCCAGGTCATTTCGGAGTTTCTGGGTAAAACCAAACCCGACCCGATTTTTGAAACGGGTCGGTTTGTTAAACCCGAACCCGATTCGTTTCACAAACAGGTTGATCATAACCCGAAATTTTTTGGTCGGGTTTCAGTCGAATTTTTCGGTCGTGTCAAATATTGACACCCCCTATTTAAAATATAAAAAAATATACATATTCTCATGCTTTATGCGATTGTAATGTTTTATATTAGTTATGCGTTGTACTAAAGTTAAAAAATTAGGGCGAGTAATAACTCGTTTGTGCGGGACCCAAAGGAAAATTTTACTCATAAATTGTGGATACTGTAATAATTGTATAATATAATTAAGGTTTTTGAATAGAGTCTTATAATATTATATTATTAGAAAAACGTAAATAAGATTTTTTTTGGCACTCCAATCAGGAAATCTATCAATGAGGTACAAATCTTGATATAAGTTATTTTTAAAATTAATTTTAGGATCATATGGAGTCTAATTTCAATGAATTTATTGTTGAACTGAACATCTTGATGAGATGCATCCAATGATATCAAAGGTGATTTGCTTTGTAACACTTATTGTTTTTTAATCTAACTAATTAACTTGACTTTATATAAATTCTTGTTTAATCTTAATTTAGTTATGAAATATGAATTATGTTGTGAATGAATTACCTTAAATATAATTAGAATTAAAATAGAGTTGTGGGCTCCAAATATTAACGCCTCGGCCTCTCCGCATCCTCTTTTTCTTTTTTCGAGTCGTCGAGGAGAGTTTTAACAAGTAAGTTCCGAAGAAATTTTTAGAAGACAAATTGGGTTTTGAATAAGAAATTACCCAGAGATTTAACTCTAATTTTGCGAGGACTTTATGATCTGAGTTCAAGTTTTCTATAGGCGCAAGCCGCTATTGTTAATTACCCCCCTCCTGATAACGAGAGAAAACTTTCGATTAAAGCTAGTCATCGAACTAATATGTACTATTCGGCATATAGTAGCAACATGTTTAGTTTAGGTATATGAAACATTAATATCAGTATGGTTTATCACGGTCCCTAGTCTACTTAGTCAAAGGAGGTAGTCGACCCAATCTGACAAAAGGATCCTTGTTGGTAGCCAGGGATTGCTTCGTCAAATGGTACATTGTAGATCTTCGATGAATGTTTGTTTACATGGAAAAATTTGAAGTCACCTTAATTAGCTAACATAGGCTTTATTCCATAGAGGTCATATCATATTGATCAATTACTCAAATATTTAGGGGAACATACGTGCTTTGACCATGACCATAATTTAATGGTGTCATTTAGCGATAGAACTACCCGTTTAGAGGGTCCCAATTATAACTCTTTACCGGTGGTGCCATTTGGTAGTGAAATCATCGATTAGAGGACACGTACGACGTCCTTACAGGTAAGAGATAATTTGAAAATGAATTATAGTGATATTATTAACAAAATATTTGCTCTTTGTGAGCAAAAATGTTTTTCAAACTTGTCCACCTTTGTAAAATGTTACAAAGGGTGAATGGGTGTTTTGCTTTAAGTTTTTGATATTTTTATTTCAATTTTAAATATTTTGGTGATCTTTGAGTTTTGAATTTCCATGAGAATTTGAGAGAAATTTTGAATGTTTGAGGTCCCCACTAGTGAGATTTTCTTTCAACATGGTACTTATGGGCAATTAATTTTGTTGGTTGAACCCTGTCGACTCTGCCTATTTGTCGAAAGAGAATCAAGTTTATTGTCAGCTTTAAGCCTTTATTAATGAGTTTTACTTGTAATAGATCTTTAATGCTTAATATGAATGTATAAAATAAATATTCTAGTCAATATCGCAATCGTATATTTGTTTGATAGTTTGAGCCATGTCGACTCCTATCCGTTTATGTAGAAGGATCGGATTCAAACTTAGATTCATTTCTTGACTTGCACAATATTCTCAGACGTCACGTATGTGTATACAACATGTTCATCGGGGCCAATGGGGGTAATCATACTTTAATGCATGAGGGACTTTTTTAAATGTTTAGATATAATTATTTGTGCTAAGTTATTATCTCTAAAATTTGCTCAAAATTTTACTTGAAGCTTGA